AACTTTCTGTTTTAAATATATAATTTTAAAGGCTTACTTGTTGGACCAATTTTTTTCAGAAATAAACATTTATCAATTTTCTTCTCAGATAAGTCTTAATGATTTATTTTGGGGGGAACTTTCTCCCTTCAGCCTCCCAGTATCTTAAAAATTGTACATTTTCAGTTAAGTGTACATTTCCTATTCTAGAATCTTCCTAGTGGTTTATTGTTTTAACTAATATAAATGAAGCGCAACAAAAACTCCTTGAAAAAATATAAAGTAAAATGTTATTTTCTTCAAAAAATTTAATCCCTGGAAGAATTAATTTTCTGCTGTATATTGACTTTAGTTCAAGAAATTAAACTAGAAGACATAGCAAGTTTCCATTAAGTAAAAGCAGGTCTGTGGCATTTAGTGGGATTGATAAATTTCTCAATAGAGTACTCAATTTGTCTAAGACAAAATCAAAAGCAGTTAGTAATGACTTTTTAATGAAACAATTTGAGTAAGAACAAATCTTTAAAATGTGTTTATTACCACAATCTTCATTGAAATTTGAGTATTATAAAAATTATTAGACACCAGCAGCAGCATTATATTTAAAGGTGAAAAATAGAGCCTTCCTATTAACAAAACAAGAATATTTCCTGTTTAGTTTTGTGCTATAGCTATCTAGCCAATGTAATGCAACAATTTAAAAAAATGATTAATATAGAAATTGGAAAATTAGAACAAAAATACTTTTGTTTGTATATTTGCCTGCATAAAAGTAATTGATTCAACTATAAAATAACATATTAGAGAGCTCAATAATAAGTTTGTCTACAGGATAACTGTAAAAATTACTCTCTTCCTATATCGGGTCAGCAAATTAACACCCAATGGTGAAATCCAATCCATTGCCTAATTTTCTAAGTAAAATTTATGTTCATTTGTTTGCATTTTGCAATACAAAACAGTGGCAGAACTAATTTTAATGACATTATATAATCTCATAGAATGCCTACAGAATTTAATATTAGTCCCTTTAAAGAAAAATTTGTCAGTTATTCTTCAATATTTTCAAGAGGAAAAATAATACTAGGCAAAAAAAACCCATATAAAATACTTAAGATTAAACTGAAGAAGAATGTGGAAAGTTATTCTCATTTCTAAATGAACATTAAATGCATGAAAAGAGGTTAGATATTTCTGAAAAGGAGAATGTAAGAAGGGAGGTTTGCCTCAAAAGTATTCTCTTAAAGGCACAATATTTAAAACAGTGTGTTTCTGTATCAAGTCAACAATCAGATTGAATAGACTCATATATATTTGTGAGTTTATTGTGTACTTAAGAAACTGGCATTTGGCTCCATCTGACCTCCATCTTCAATACGGAGAAAACCAAAAAAATTAAACCCACTGCCGTCAAGTTGCAGCGCATTCATAGTGACCATTTAGGACAGGGTAGAACTGCCCTTGTGAGTTTCTGAGACTATAACTTTATGGGGGTAGAAAGTCTCGTCTTTTTCCAGTGGAACATGCTTATGGTTTCAAACTGCTGACATTGCAGTTAGCAGACCAACTTATAGAAAACCAAACTTAATACCATCAAGTCAATGCTGACTCATAGTGACCCCTTCTGGGTTTCAGAGACTGTAGCTGTTTACAGGAGTAGAAAGTATAGCCTTTCTCTCACGGAGCTGCTAGTGATTTCAACCTGCAGTCCATGCTGATCACAGCCCAACACATAACAGGAATCATATCACTACACCACCAGAAGTCTTACATAACCAGAAGGGGAAAGGAAGAAGTCAGATGTGCCTACACCTTCCATCCTTACATCATCCTTCCCTCCCACAACACTCTATTTCTCCTCTGGGTTCAATAATTTATTGCAATGGCCACACGGAACTTACAGATAATGCAATTATGGACACTTATTAAATAAGTTAACAATTGATGAGAAGTCAGGATCAATAAACATTAAGGAATACAGTCTTTTATCAAAAGTGGTGTCTCCTCTCTGTTCCTCAGCCTCTCAGCCACACTACCCGTGGACCTCTGTCCTGATCAGGCAAATGTTAAAAAGCTCCTTTAGCTCCCAAAGGCCATTCTACTTTGCAAGGCAGCCTCCTGTTTGAAGGCATTCAACTTTACTTATTGATGGGCCAGGAAGGCTATCACTCTGTCTCATGGTCTCCACACTGCTCTGTCTCCTAGTCTCCTTGCTGTGGTCTCTGGTGCCTGCCTTGCCACTGCAGGCAAGGATCTTGTATACCCTTCACTGGTAACTTTTCTTTCTAAATGGCCTTAAAGTTCCTCGCTCCTGCTTCTATAGTGATGCACTCTCATACCCAGCAGAATGGCAAGTCCCCAGGCAAGACTCTTCTACAACTTATTTGCAAGTTCCACCCAATCATTTGATGGGAGTCAGAAGACTATGGATAGAAGAGCCATACTATGTAATCTCACTTCACCACAGGCCACCCTCTCACTGTTCTAGCAGTTGTTCCTTTCATACATGAAGGATTAAATGCCTTTCCTCTTTCATTTAAGTCTTCTGAAATTCTAGTTTACAGCATAATTACCCCTGTTAACAATCACTCACCACTTAATTTTATAATCCTTTCAACATCTTCCCCCATCCTCTCTTACCTAGTTCCATCAGGAAAAGAGGGAATTAAGTGGGAATTCACCCTGCTTCTCCTTATTTTGAGACTAAATACCCCATGAGTGTGTAAGCCAGCCACTTCATGTGTTTATCTGCCTCTGCTTTAGATATCCCGTTTTTTTAAAAAATAATTATTTTATTAGGGGCTCATACAACTCATCACAATCTGTACATAT